ATTTGCTGTCACTATGGTAACCATGGTGAACAACCCATTCAGTGGTGCACCACTTCTTGCCGTAATCCGGCTCGAAGGACCAATGTACACCACACGATGATGTACCTTTCGACTGCGCTGATTCGCGGCAAGGTTCCTTCCCTCTAATGGGGAGAGTCCGAAGGACTGTTACTGATATTTGCTGTCACTATGGTAACCATGGTGAACAACCCATTCAGTGGTGCACCACTTCTTGCCGTAATCCGGCTCGAAGGACCAATGTACACCACACGATGATGTACCTTTCGACTGCGCTGGTTCGCGGCAAGGTTCCTTCCCTCTAATGGGGAGAGTCCGAAGGACTGTTACTGATATTTGCTGTCACTATGGTAACCAAAGTAAACAACGTATACAGTGGTACACACATTTATTTCAAAGTCTCAACGCTATGTCATTTCTAGTACAGCAACTCAATAGTGCGTATTTTATTAGGTGAGCGGCGGCTAGCGTGTAATGGCGGAACAACAATACTGTTTATTTTCTACGGATACATAATATTATACTCAACACATATACTTAACATTAGGTGGACTATGTGCTCGCTTGGCAGAGAGAATGAATGTTCTTTATTTATTTTTATTGTTTAAAGGACTTTAATGTTGAAAAAGATAATTACTATTGCATTAAATGTTTTGTCGTGAGTTCAGAGCATAAGCTTAAACCTTTTAAATCAGTGGTATCATTAGCGAAGCCGGAGATTATTTCCTTTTGAGGTCGGTCATGAGGCTAATGCATGACTCGTCTTAATTGCCCTGTAACGCGGCTCGTTGACTTCCCATTATTGCTCCTTAGATAGAAGAAACTCAGTTAGATGCTACAAACTGTAAGAATGAAAAATAAAATATTGACAAAAATTTAAGAATTCTAAATTAAATGATTTAATAAAAATTTATTGAGTACGATGCTTTATTTCATAAAGCCTTAAATCTAAGGAACATTTCCTAACATTTAAAAAATTTAATTTTAATCTTATTTATTTTATTATTTTAATCTGCCGCCAAGCAGCAGCGTGTGAACTGCACAGGCTGTGAGGTATTCAATACGAGTCACAGAATAAATTTACGTATAAATCTTAGTCCTCGGAGGTGACAACCCATCCGTTGTATTTTTGTTTTGCAGTCACGAATTATAAAAAAAAGCTAGCTTACAATTTGTATAAAAATATAATAAAAAACAAAACATTTAGAAAAATATAAAATACTAGCTGGCTAAGCAGACGTTGTTTTGCCCTTTCCGGTGACCCTTTGTCCTATAAAAATCATTAAATTTGAAATAATAAATATTGAGGGTCACTTATCGGGATAAAAACTATCCTATCTTTCAAGTTAGAGAAAGCAATACGCATTCATAAAACGTCATCAAAATCAGTTCAGTAGTTTTGGAGTTCATCGCGGACAATGTGACACAAATTTTTATATATAAAGATAAAGTTAAAAAACTGCAATGTATGATATTTTCTGTGCTCATTCTGCGGTTTCCTTAGTAATAATAGCAATAGTTTATTGAATTTAAAAACTTTTCAAAATCACCTACCATCCTTGAGTTGCATGTACTTCGTACGTATACAAAATGTAACAAAAACCCTGTGGTTCCCGTTAACTGCGTTATCAGAGTCAGTATCCAAGCATATAGAAATAATTAAAAAAAACACATTTAGAAAATTAATTTTAATGAAAAAAAATTTGCAAATTGTATGTGGTTTTATTATCTCTGCATTGGCCGAGGAGTAAGAGCATTGTCAAAGACCCCGCATTACCGATACTCGTGTGAGTTAGAGAAAATAAAACCAACCACATACAATTTGCAAATTAATTTTTTTTTCATTGAAATTAATTTTTCTAAATGTTTTTTTTGAAAAAAAAAATTATTTATATATGCTTGGATACTGATTCTGATAACACACTTAACGGGAACCACAGGGTTTTTGTTACATGTTGTATATCGATGTCTACGACGCACGCACAGTTGTCGGCATTCTTATCTTACATTTACTAGATTTTATAAAACATATTAAGATAATTAAAAGTATGATAGGTAAAATTTAAAGTTTGCTGTAATTTTTCAATGACGTATGTTACAGCGTGTGGTGGCGGTGTAAGCATATCCACTGCCCCATATCTTCCCGTGGGGGTCGTGAGAGGCGACAGAGGGACACTGACAGGAGATGGGCAGCAGCAACTGTCTGATGATAACAACTTAAAATAATAAAGATCAGCGTTTGTCAACACACCTGCCAATCATGGCAACTGTGGCAAAATCATCCTGATGATGCAATTTATGGGAGAGGCCGATGTTCAGCAGAGGATTTAAAGGCTGAGATGGATGGAAGGGATAGATATTAGAGCTTAAATCAATCACACGTGGCCTGAATTTTAGCAGTTATTTTTTTGTTGTTTTCCATATATTTTTTTCTATAAACTTTCAGGTAAAAGCCAGGATAGTATTATTTTGAAAAGTTGGCACATTTTTCTTTTATTGAAAACTATATTGCTATTGCAGTGGTACTCCAAAAGTGAAGAGTACTGCATCGTTCAAATTTAAAATCGTATATACCAAAGATTCTTGGATTTTCGCCAAACGGTCTAAATGGCATATACATAGTATGTATGGCACAGAAAAAATATAATTACCAAAGTGAAAATTATTGACAAAAACACATAAAGAAAACCAAAACCAAAAATATAAATTAATTATTGATGTATTAACATGGAATAACTGAGGTTTACCGTGTAGTGGGGTTGTAAAAATGTGTGTAAGAATTTTCTCAGATGTCCTCTCCAGCTGATAATTCATATATCTCCTACCCGGTGTACAAATTAGAACACTCATTTGTGCCCTGGGCTGGAGTTGCGCATACGTCAGAGAGGACATCTGTTTTCAACGCCTCGGCAGTGTTGAAGGTACGGACCTGTCCATTCCATGGCTGCGCGTAGACAGTGACGAACAGCCCCGCGTTTACAGGTGCCTCTATAGGTCCCATAGCGGTAATGCCGAAACAGATCGACTCATCGACTACGTCCAAATGGCCATAGATTCCGTGCTACAGTAGATCCGTTCCGCAGAGATCGTGATCCTTGGCGATTTTAACGCCCACCACGCCGAATGGCTCGGGTTCACGTTTAATCGATGCGGGGAGATCTGTATATAACTTTGCCTTGGCATATGGTCTGACACAGCTGTTTACCTCGCCTACGCGGATTTCAGATGTGGAAAATTATACACCTTCCCTATTAGACTTTCTGCTGACCTCTTATCCGGATGGATATCAGGGTTCCGTCGACGTTCCTCTAGGCTCGTCGAAGACGATTGTCTTGTCCGGAGTGTGGTGCCAGTCAAATTAATGTCACGGTTGCATTATGCAAGCTGCCTCCGTGTTTGGCACTATAGGCCGATTGAGATGGGATGCGGTCTTTTTCTGCATCCTACCCTTGGGGGCGGTTTTGCTTCTCGCTGGACGATCCCAGCGTTGTTGCTGATTCTGTCGCTGATGTGTTACTTCAGAGTATGAAACTTTTTATTCCATCCTCTGCGTTGTCCAACGGTACCTCCGTTCTCCGATCTCAGCCATGGTGGTGGTCGCACCTGTAAAATAGCATCACTCTATAAGCAGGAGTGCTACGGGGCTTGGCGTCTCAGGACGTAAACACCAGCGTTTTTGAAAAGAAGTATAATTCCATCTCCAGGTCTTTTAAAAGAGTCATTGCCAAGGCAAGGTCTGAGCACATTGGCAGAATTGGCGAGAAGCTAATTCGCCTTCCTTCAGGAACCCGTGCATTCTGGTCTCTCGCCAAGGCTTTCCAAGGGAACTTCAGTCAGTCATCTCTTCTATCTCTGAACAGAGAGGACGGCTCACTGCACCATGCTGCAAAGGAGAAAGTCGATCTATTAGGCTCTCTCTTTGCGTCCAACGCGACTCTCGATGACAGGGGGAACACACCGTCGACCAGCCGCGGTGTGAGTACTCCATGCCGTAAGTACGGTTTACACAGCGCTCGGTTCATAAAGCACTCCTCTCCCTAGACGTCAGCAAGTCGAGTGGGCCTGATGGAATCCCTCCCATTGTACTGAAGACGTGTGCTCCGGAGTTGGTACCGGTTTTAACGCGTCTTTTCCGATACTCCCACTCCCGAGGCGTAGTCCCAAATTAAAGGAAGACAGCTTTGGTCAACTCGAACCCTAAAAGGGCGATTGCTCAGACCCGTTAAACTACAGGCCCATCGCCATCACCTACTTGTTCTAAAATAATGGGGTCCATTGTAAACCGCCATGAGGTACCTTGAAGATCACCAGCTGATTAGTGACCTCTAATAAGGTTTTCGTCGTGGTAGATCAGCTGGTGATCTTCCGGTCTACGTGACTCATATATGGGTGGAGGCGGTAGAGTTCAAGAGGCATTGGCCATTAGTTTGCACATAGCGAAGGCCTTCGATCGGGTCTGACACAAAGCTCTTCTTTCGAAGCTTTCTTCCTTTTTTATAGGATATATAATTAATGTACGGTTATTATTCATAAACATCTCATATTTCTGGACTCCCTATATCAACATTCTTGTATGTACATAACCTAACGTATATAATTCAATTAAATTCATTAATAAAACTTCCGCTCCATCCACATGTAAACAAGTGTAACCCTTACTCATTGGTCGCAATCCTAAGAAAATCCTTTGCTTAATTAAGCTTTCGCTTTTGCGCAAGTATTTTAAATTATGCATGGATTTTATTTTTATAAGCGACTAAAAAATGTTTTAACAACAAATACTGAAATATAAGTAAATGGGTGCGTTTGGCAGAAAAAAGCGCTAGCAAGCGCTTGTAAACAAAATGGCGATCGTAAGCGGTAACCGCTTTCAAATCGTTAGTAGCTATTTTCCGCTAGGACACGAAGTTAGTTGAACCCCAGGAACCTAACCTAATTTAAGTATATGTTTGTAAAGTATTCATATTAAAAACTTACCAATCATGAATAATATATTAAATAATGTAGTGACGGACGACGAAGAAACTGAAGATATTTTCGGTTATGATATTGTTAATATTGCTGCTCCTATTATTAATGCTCCTATTAAAGCAGGTATTTATGTTTATTATTTTACATGTAGTTTATAAAAAAATTAATTTTTTTTTAGTTAATTCATTTAAATAATCTTTGTTTTTCAGGTAATAATATTTTTAACAACATACATGATGCAGTCATCATGGAAGAAGATCGAAACCACGATCTTTACCTTCAACCCAGAGGTGATCCAAATGCTTGTATACAAAATTTTTATGAAGAAGTTATTCCAGCATACACCGATCAACAATTTTATGAGCATTTTCGGATACACCGAAACGTATTTGAGGTGATAAAATAATTTTACGTATCATTTAATATTCAAGCTAAATGTGAAATACTAAGTATTTTTTTTGTTATTAGGAGTTAGTCAGTATAATTGAAGGACGGATTGCGATTCTCAATGCAAACCCTGAGAATAACTCTGATAACGACTCAGGTATTCCAATGCGGAAAAAATTATTTTTAACTATTTGGATTTTAGCTACACCAGACAGTTATCGGTCCATTGCTGATAGATTTGGACTAGGTAAAAGCAAAGCTCACACTTGTTTTAAAGAGATTGTTTCAATTTTGGCAGATTTAATATCAGAGTTTGTAACATGGCCAAATGAAGATTTATTACGAGAAATTGAACAAGTTAGGATTATTCTTGAATTTTTTTAGATGTGTTTATGATAAAAAATCTATTAATATACTAATAAATAATGCAATAATTTCATACATTTACATTTGCAGGTGTTTATGGAACGGTCTCAAAATCGATTTCCGGGAATCGTGGGAGCAATAGATGGCTGTCATATTCAAATAAAGCAACCACCACACAATGCTCATGATTTTTATAATAGAAAAGAAACCCATTCAGTAATTTTACAAGGTATTAAAACAAAAATACACTATTTCACACAGTAATTTTCAAAATTATAAATACAAGCAAAACATTTAACTATTCCAGGAACGTGCGACCATACAGGAAAATTTATTGATAACACAATGATGAACAATATGTTTTAATAGGAAGGCCAGGCCGATGTCATGATGCATCTGTATTACATAGCAGTGCATTATACCGTCGTTTGATAGATCCTGCTCATCCTTTATTGTCCAACTGTCAACATCTGCTTGGAGATTCCGGATATCCGTTATCTACTCATATACTTACACCTTTTAGAGACAATGGGCATTTAAGTGATCAAGAAACCCGATATAATGTAGTGCATGCTTCTTGTAGAAGTATTATAGAACGAGCATTTGGTTTGTTGAAAGTAAAGTTTCGTCGATTGTACCATTTGAATGTTCAATCCGTTAGAATGGCAAATGTTATGATTGCTGCTTCATGCACTTTACATAACTTCAATTTAATGCACGGTCAAGCTAACATTTGGGATAACAGCAACTTCGTTAATGAAAATCGTGATGATGATGATCACAATGATGATGATATTGGTGATGATGATGCTGATGGAGTTATTAAAAGAGATAGAATTATGGAGGCAATGTAATTTAAAATATAACATTGAATTTAAATAAATTTTTTTTAAACAAGGAGTGTGTGAAATTTTTTCATTTTTTGACAATTTTTAAAATAATTATACGATAGAATGTGTGCAGAATGAATGAATGAAATGTGCAGATATACTAATTATACAATTTTAGAAACATCTTAAGAAGCATAAAGCTACTTTTTAAATAAATGTTTGCCATTTAACTGATGTTATCATATTAACTTTGATGATTTATAAATTAAAATATTTATTTCAATGAAACTAAAATTTATACTTATTTTTATTTCAACTTCTGAACAAAATTCAAAATTTATATATATATATACAGTACATATAAAACTCTTTTAAATCTATCTAATTTTAAATATATTTTAATCTAATAAAGTAATTTATAACAGAAAAATATCAACAAACAGTCCATTTTTCTACTCTTAAATAAAGACATATAATGATTGAACTAAAGAGTTCAAATAATTAACTTTGGTTGTTAATACTTCAGCTAAACAATTATAGACTACAGTTTCTTATAATTTATGGACCATCTAGCTTGTTGGAGATATCACTAAATATATCATTTCTTTCTTTCATTATTGCGTTTTTCTCTTTTAATACTATAATTAAATTATCCATGGTATTTTTCCAAATATAAGCGTTGTTTGATAAAATGTTATTATTATCCTCTGAGTTTTTAGCCATTTGTTTAAAGATTTCTTTCTTTTCTATATCCAATTGCAGTTGTTTATTGCGTTGCCCATACAACTGTCTCGCGTGAGTATTTTTTCCAGCATCTTTCTTTACTTGTTTTTCAATATTTTCATCTGCTGTGGATACTGCTAAAGAATGGGAAGATGTACTATCAATTGTGTCTGCATCAGAAAAAATATTTTCAAACCTAAAAAAATAATAATTAAATTAAAATAGTTATTAATGAATCAATATAGATAATAGTATCATAAGAAATACCTTTTATTTGATTTCGACAAATTCAATGGCAAAGGATTAATTTGAGATGTTGAACTTTCTATAACATTATCTGTTAATATCACTGATTCATCATTATGAAAAATTTCAGTCATTATTTGTAACCATGGCCATTCAGCTCTTCCTTGGCCTGTTGATCTCTTACTTTTTAATTTTTTTTGTATTGGGTTTTCATGTTTCTTATTTTTTTATCGAGTTCTGAATATGGAATATTGATATTTCGTTTTAAAAATTCAGCTGCCTATTTCCCCCGGTATAATCTTTTTTTTAATTCCTGGGTCACGAAACTGTTTAATCCTTTTTTATACTCATCTAAAAGTAATTTGATTTTTGTGGGAGTCCAAAATTTAGCTGGAAAAATATTAATACTTAAAATTAACTTTTCCATTACATTTTTTAAGTTGGTTACAGCTTATGAGTTTTAGTGCAAGATTTAAATATATATATATATATATATATATATATATATATATATATATATATATATATATACATATATATATTATAGAGTAGACATTGGGAACTTCTGCGTACAAAAACGGTGAGTACGCGCGTATGTTAGGCCTCTAGCGAAAAATAGCAATACTATTACACATACCTTCTTCAGACTCATTGTTGGCATCACCAATTAAATTATTTGCCACGTGCTCAGTCTCCTCATCTGCAGTTTCTGGTGTGTTGTGTTGTTGTATAAGATTTTCAAAATAGTGTGATGCAAATTGGTCATCTGGAAATTATAAAATTATATTATTATAAAACAATCGAAGATCATCACACAATTACCATTGTATATAAAACTCGTATATTTAATGCTCCAAATAAAATAATTCTCAATCATGTAATTAATAGTCGAATTTACCTTGAACAAAATGACAATTAGAACATCAAAAACTGATGACTACAATAAATATAGGGAATTTAGAGAAAAATTCTGGCATTTTTTTATTAAAAATGAATTATTAATAACTTTGATTAAAACTACTTTTACGGATTTTATCGCGTTTATTTTAGTTTTAATTACTATTATTTTTAATTCCCGACGTTTTTAATAACTAATAAAAAGTTCATGAAAATGAATTGAATCTAATAAGAAAATTATCAATATATCTTAGGAATTAAAGGAATAAATCAGTAAACGTAACCTAAAAACATATAAAACATAAGGTATTTACCGGTTTGAAGCTTATGATGTATATCATCCGTCGCAGAAATATCAAATTGCACATTTCCACATATATATTTTACTATTTTTTGAACCGACATTATTATTTATATTAAAACTAATTGCACAAAACAACTTTCAAAACAAACAAAATAAATAATAAGCAAAATGGCGGATTGTGTCAGCGCTACTGAAGTAGCAATCGTGTCCTGGCCGAAAACTATTTTAGCGCTAGTGAGCGCTTGCTAGCGCTTTTTTCTGCCAAACGCACCCAATAGCAACATTCTAGTATTTTATTAAACGTGATGTAAGGAAAATCTATTATCTATAGGTATAAACAAAATTGTAGTATCGGTCTTTAATATCAAAATAATTCAAATAACTCAAAGAAAAAAAGAAAATAACGAAATTATTATTAAGCTATTGCATAGCTTCTATCGCGGGCCTTGAGCGCGGGGACCGAATCCAGAAATTCATTCTGTAACGAAAAAACCTCACGCTCCCCACTCCGACGGGCACGGAGGTGTGGCTTGAAGGCCATGCATCGTCTAACGTCGTTTCAGTTCGGCAGACTTCGGCACTCGGCAGACTTCGGCACGGTGTTTGTGTGCGTGCGACAATACGTATGCGTGTACACTAGCTGCTAACTCAATGATAAAAATTCCTGAATAACCTACATGTATTGTAAGATATTAAAAATATTTTAAACAATATTAACTTTTCATTTATAAATAAGTAATACCAAAGAACTGAAAAACGACAACGCGAACCCATTCGTGCTACAACTATACTACTAATATAACTGCAGCATGGATCCACCATGTATAAACTATATACACTTAACTACTCAAAATAGTCTCATATTTTGCTTGTAAGTGGACGAGACATTGTTATACTTAATAAGTTTAATTAGTTCTACATAATGTCAAACATTAAACGTGAACTAATTTCTTTAAAAATGTACAACAAGTTATATATAATTATATATCAATTGGATTTAGCCAGCGAGAAAATGAAATCATGTCGTGTTTACGCCATCTAGCGTATTTTTAGCATACCACCTTGAAAGTTAATCAATGTTTGTTCGATAAAATCATTTCACGTATAAAATGCAGTAGATGGCGATATAACAAATTATTATTTTACTTGTGTACTCCAAAGAATACAGTTTTAATTTATTACACTTAAATTCTCAAAATACTCCCACATTATGCTTGTAAGCGGACAAGACATTGTTATACTTAATAGGTATAATTAGTTCTACACAATCTCCAACACTAAATTTGAACTAATTTCTTTAAAAAATGTACAGTACCTACCTAATATCTAAGCATCTAAGTAATATTTTATGTTACATTACTTTTTATACACAAAAACAGTTCAAACTTAAAAAAAACTATCATAAAACTAATAAAATTATATTTATGTAAACTAAGTATCCATAAAATCTCATAATATAAGAAGTGATATATAAATCTATATCAATAGGATATAAATGCCTATATCCATAAATGTGTATTATGCCATCCTTAAAATCCGATAACATAACAAGTTACATACAAGTATATATCAATAGTATTTAGCCTGCGAGAAAATAAAATCGTGTCGTGTTTGCGCCATCTAGCGTATTTTGTGCATACCACCTTGAAAGTTAATCAATGTTTGTTCGATAAAATCGTTTTACGTATAAAATGCAGTAGATGGCGCTATAACAAATTATTATTATACTTGTTTACTCCAAAGAATACAATTTTAATTAATTACACTTAACTTCTCAAAATATTACCATATTATGCTTGTAAGCGGACCAGACTTTGTTGTACTTAATAAGTTTAAGTAGTTCTACATAATGTCAAACATTAAACGTGAACTAATTTCTTTAAAAAATTTACAGTTCTTACCTAATATCTACGCATCTATATAATATTTTTTGTTACATTACTTTTTATACACAAAAACAGTTCAAACTTAAAAACCTATCATAAAACGAAAAAATAATTGTTTATGTAATCTAAGTATCCTCAAAATCTCATAATATAAGAAGTGATATATAAGTATATATCAATAGAATTTAGCCTGCGAGAAAATGAAATAGAACATTGAATTAAATCGTTTCCTGTTTATGCCGTCTAGCATATTTTATGCGTACTACCTTGAGAGTTAATCAATGTTTTTTCGATAAAATCATTTTACGTATAAAATGCAGTAGATGGTGCTATAACAAATTATTATTTTACTTGTTTACTCCAAAGAATACAGTTTTAATTTATTACAATTAACTTCTCAAAATATTACCATATTATGCTTGTAAGCGGACCAGACATTGTTATACTTAATAAGTTTAAATAGTTCTACATAATGTCAAACATTAAACGTGAACTAATTTCTTTAAAAAATTTACAGTTCTTACCTAATATCTACGCATCTATATAATATTTTATGTTACATTACCTTATATACACAAAAACAGTTCAAACTTAAAAAACTATCATAAAATGGAAAAATTATTATTTATGTAATCTAAGTATCCTTAACCCTTAACCACCTAGCGTCGGTACTCGGCACTCGGCACTCGGCAGACTTCGGCACGGTGTTTGTGTGCGTGCGACTAGACGTATGCGTGTACACTAGCTGCTAACTCAATGATAAAAATTCCTGAATAACCACATGTATTGTAAGATATTAAAAATATTTTAAACAATATTAACTTCTCATTTATTCAATAAGAGAAAAAAATTGTTTTCTTATCGGTCACCACGCTCAAAAAGTGTAACTTGATTTAATATCAAAGACTTAACTGCATAAATAAAATAAATAAATAATTATAATTGCATAAGTTGATAAAAATGCTATGCAATTTTTTATTGTTATATAAGTATATTATTATTATTTATTAATAAATAAATTATAAATTATGTTTTTTATAATTTTAATTATTATAAGTATTATAATTTATAACAAATTTAAATTAATAATTATTATAGATTTTTTTTTAAAATTTCATCATTTAATAACGTTTCTTTTTGTCAATATTTCAAAATAGCAGTATCTGCGAAGTAATTTTCCGACGGTAGCTCGGCTATAAATTCTACAAATTTTAAGGGTCAGGCTGGCTATGCTTTAGCACGTAGCGATCGTTCTCCTGTTCTCTAACCTCCATGGTAACTTCACAAACAGATAGAGAGCAACACAGTTGTGATCTAGGTTATTTATTATCCTAGATATAAATCCTTATTATAAAGAAAATTTTTCGAAAAACTGCTAAAATAAAAGTTTTGCAAGGTTTTCAATATTGCACGAAATGTTGGGTTGATATATCCATTGAATTCATAATTCATAATTCTTTCATAATTCTTTATTGCATGTCACAAAGTATAAAGTTGGAACAATATATTTACAGAACATGTAACCCTGTACGGGCGTAGCATATTAAAACAGAGTTTAAATTTTAATTAATATAGAATTCATTTTCATTTCATTCAAATTACAGTATTTATAGTAGTATTTATAGTACACGATATATAAATTATATTATAAAATGTCAGACTAAATAATATTACACATTTGTTTTAAAAATTAAATTTCATTAAATATTGTCAACTGATCATTTGTCATTTATATTATGTAAATAAAGTTTAAAAATTTTTGATAAAAAATACTAACAATATCAAATATGTAAATAGAAATAGAGAAAATTGTCAAATAATTAAAGTTGATTTATAATTTATCATTAAAATATTCATTCAAACTGTAATATGTTTTTACAATAAGCATTTTCTTGAGTACTATTTCAAATTTACGACACTGGAGGGCTTTTATTGTATTAGGTAAATGATTATAAACCCTTATAGTAATGTAGTAGGGACCATTTTTATATAATGTGAGATGTGTGGCAGGAGCAACCAGATTATAACCTCGGCGTGTGCCGTAGCGACTGGGTCTATCTTCAAATCGCTGGAAATAATGAGGATTTTTCCTAACAAATCGGCATAATTCAAAAATGTACATGCACGTTACAGTTAGTAAGTTATATCTGGGGAACATTCTTCGACATGAATCTCTTGGAGCTGCGAATCTGATGATTCTAAGGCAGCGTTTTTGGAGCATGGATACCGCGTGTACCTCGGTAGAGTTTCCCCAGAATATGATGCCGTATCTTATCCAGGCAGCTGCGTGGCTGTGGTACGCAGTAAGTGCGCACTGCTCATTAGTATCCTTACGTAGCTCACGCAGGGCATAGCAAAAACTGCTCAACTTACTTACACACTTTAACACTTTCCACATGAGTTTTCCATGAAAAAGTTGAGTCTATTATTATCCCGAGGAAAGAAAATGTGCGAACTTCCTCAATATTTATACCTTGGTAAGATATAGCGAGCGGGACTTCTGATCTCTGATATGGACGAAACTGCATTATTTTGGTCTTTTCAAAATTTAGTAATAAGCCTAAAACCTCTTGCCTTTTAAAAGCAATACTGGTCAGACGTGTAAATTATTTAAATACTAAAAAGTTGTTTACATTACTGCATTTGTTTTCTATCAAATGAACAATAGAATTCCACCAAGATCAACAATCGCAAGAATAAGCTATTATGCTATAGTAGTTTCTATATTCCAATAGACTGGAGAATATTTTTGAGGCAGTGCATTGGGTCAATTGCAAATAAGCTTTGTTTGACTTCTGTGTTTGAAACAAACACAGTTTGACGTTGAAAACACAAATTGTGATTATATGCTACTTTGAATATAATTTCTTAAATGACAAATTTTTTTAACAATTCGCTTGATTGCACTGATTTAGCTTTAATATGACTAAAGCTAGTATTGAAACATCAATGACGCTAGCTACGGTACGTAAGGAAAGGAAAGGAGCTAAGCGGTCAGCCACCGTAGAGTCTTCACCTTCACCTGAGAATGCCTCGTGTAGAGGTGAAACACGTGTTGTATTATCATCGATGGTGTGTCTTTCCTAGTGTAGTGGTGTTGGGAGCAGTGGTGCCGGAATTAATGGAGACGGGATTAGTGCACGCAATTGAGGGAGGGCGGAAGGTGCTCTCCAAACTAGGTAAGACACATCATTTTGTTTTATTGAGCGAGGTAA